ATTTCCCAAGACATAACTGACCTACATGCAAGAGGGGACCTTGGTCTCTTGTCATTTTTCTAGGTCAGATGACAAAAATAATGAGTCTTAAAAGAAAGTGAGCTGGTTCTTGCTGAACCCAAGCAAGGAGGCTGGCACTCAGAAGAACTAGAAATGGTTCCCAGTCCTGGGAGGCTCCACCTTCTCTAATGCCACTAGAGAACAGACCAAAACCAAAAGAAGGGAAAAAAGGAAGGGGTTAGGTGACTAAAGATTAAAAGTCAAACCCCAAACCGCTTCACCATGCAGAAGGTGTAGCTCAGAACACATTTTTTATCTTCACAAGCAAGGAGCCCAAATTGTTGGAACTCAAAATGTCCCTCAGACATTTTTGGAGGTTCCAGGCCATGGTCAGAAGCATTTGAGACCCTGGCAGGCAGCTGGAAACAGCTGTGATTTTGAGTTTGAGCCATGGAATTATTTACCAACTTTGCAGGAAGAATAAGAAGTCACAAAAGTTTAGATATTATAGTAGAAGTAATTACAAAGTAGAGGGAAGAATTTTTTTAGTGATGTACAGGGGGGTTTTAGTTTTGTACATGGGGTCAGAGGTTTTAAGATGGAGGGATTCTTGGCTGGTCCTGTCCTTCCTCTTTCTTCTTCCTTACCTCCATGTTTTTGGTGATGTTGGCGCTCGCAGATTGGTTTAGAGTAGAAAAGCACCATTTAATATAGGTAGTAGGTATTGGGGAAAAACTGTGAACATGTAACATGTAATGTACCATATAAAAGATAGCAGCAGCCCTGGGCGGGGGGAGAGAAGAAGAAGACACAGACAGAGAGGGTGTCAGGGGTGTGAGTGCCTCTGCCTGAGCTGCTGAGCAAACTGCAGCAGCCCGAGAAGACAATCTTTTCGATAACTTGCAATAAACAACCATGAGACCGAACAACAAGAGACTGCTGAGCCTTTCTTTGGAAGCACGGGTTGGAGGAGAGACTTTTCCACCACACGGAACCCCTGAACCAGGCCTGGGTTCCATCACAAATGAGTATACAGTGATTGGTGGAATTAGAAATTATGCTTTGAAATGTAAAGAGTCAGCACAGAAAGAGTCAAGGCACAAAGTAGGATAAAACCTTCCCCAGCGATTCTCCTGGTTGGAATTTTTGGTCATGATGAAATGAAAGGTCGGTATAAGAAATATTGATAGAGATCATTTCGTGTCTCAACAGCATTTGCAAGTTGAGACTAGTAGCTGAGTTAAAGCTTTTCTGGAGCTACAGCTTCCCACAGTTGTGTAGGGGACGTAGTAGAACTAAAGTTGTTTTGGAAAACCTGAACCATTTTTTATTCCTAATACAAATTTTCACCACTAATACCAATCACAAGAAAATCCTTTTCTCTTCTCTCCGTCCACATTTTTTAAATGAGAAACAAACTCTAATTTCCCAGCATACTGTTAGCACCCAACACATCAAACCACCCAAAAGCATAAGCAGAATGAAGATGTCTATTTTCATCACTGAACACATAAGCTTTTAAAAATAACATGCTGAGGTGGGCCAAGGGGAGAAGAGCTTTACCCCCCCATCCTTGCACATACGTCCCATAGTGATGCCTGCTTTTATGGCAGTGCAGGCTGCCACAGGAAGCCAAGGTTAAATAGTTTAAGGTTGAATAGCCTGGCTCCCCTTGGAGCTAGCATTTGTGACCTTTAGAAGCCTGTCCAAACCAGAAGCTGGTAAATATTTGTTTCTAAGAGAAACCCAAACAATTAAGAGTAAAAGGATTTATTGACTGCAGTGACTTACAACAGTGGCCTCATGGGAGGGCAGTTTCCAGCACCTTCTGAGTGTTCCAAAAGTGCCCATTGCACACAGTACTGTCCTGAACAAATCTGACACTTTGGTGTCACCTTGATAACAGAATCACAGAATTTTAGTAAGTAGGAAGGACATTGTCATGAGGAGCAGTGGCCATTAGGATTGCTTAGCTGCCTGATGGGACCTTGGCTTCCAACTGCTCTTTCTGCCTTTGAAAGTGAGAAAGTGACCTGATTACTTTTGTTTTCTGATAGCATCCAGTTATGCCTATTTATCCTCTTGTTTTTCTTTTCAGTTGAGCATTTCAGTACACAGGAAACCACAAATGGCCTGTAGGAATGAAGTTCTCTGCAATACTTTTTTTTTTTTCTGGACTTAGGGCAATGTGCTGCAATTCCAGGAGCTGTAGAAATGCAGTATTTTCTCCAGTAACTCTTTTCTGAAAATAAGAGGAAAATCAGGAGAATGCCTAATCTGAGTAGTGGGGGGGGGTGGGGTGGGGGAGATGGGGGGGGGGGGGGCGGATGGGGAAAGAAATCAACCTTTTTGCATGAATTACTTTTATTAATAATTTAATTAAACATTTCCAGAAGTTGAAGTAGTAGGAAACAATACTGCTTCTGAAGTAAGCCAGGTGAGATCAGCACATAACACTGATGTCTGAGGACTCTGCTCCCTAAAGCATCAGTGAAGGCTGCAGAATAAGCACATCCTAGCAGAGATTATTGCTGCCCTTCCCCATCCTTGCTCACCAGGGCCTGCTCTCTCCATACAAGCCACTGACAATCTCTACACAGCAAGAGTCAGCCCATTAAAAATAAAGAGCTGTAGGTAGAAACTCACCAGTCTCTCTTCTCTAGGAGATAAGGGGCTCAGTTGTAAAGAGTCTGATCTTTAAAATTACCTTTATTCTAACAGGAGCATTGGGAGTTGATTATACCCTGCATATCAGGTGAGAAAGATGGCATATAAGGTGGAAAAATTAAGCTGAGACAGACTCCCAAGCTCCTCTGTGCTAAGAAAGTTATGTTTCTGCTTGTTCCAGAGTTGATGGCAAAATTTCTATTGGCTTTGAAGGAGCCAAAACCAGTCTCTATTTCCATATAACTCTGTAAACTTTGGACTGAAAAGCACTTATTCAACCACAAAGTTCATTTGAAAAAAATTGCAAAATATAGCTCCCTGCAGAAGATCTGTTAGACTTCTAACAGCAATTTTATATCATCAAAGGCAAATAAACCTGTTGGGGAAAAACAGACAGGTGACTTGTATGGTGACTACTTTCATATTCTGTTTATACTTTCAATTTACAGCCTCTAAGCCACAGTCAGGAATAGCAGAAATATCAGGGTGTGCAGTTTGTTTGCACAGACTGTTTATTTTACATGTTCAGCTGGTGTGTGTCAAAAGTGAGTGGATATGGCTATTTCAAGGTATGTCCTGACTTGAGTGTTTTCTTTCCAGACACTGTAATCTTCAAACCCTGGAAATTATGTTATGGTGCTGATGATGGGAAGTATGGAAGAATTTACCTAACACAATCAATTTTTTTTATAGGTTTTGACTTAGCTGGTGTAACAAAGTGCTATACCAGCAGTGCACAGTATCTGCCTGCATAATGATGGGCTGAAAGTCTTCCTCCAGTCTAATTTGTGAAGTTAATATTTTGACTTTTCTTTTGGTGTTTTTTGGTTTTGTTTCCTTTCGTTTTGGTTTTTTTTTTGCCAGGGCTGTAGGCATATTCATATGTTACTGTGAGCTGAATAAAGGTGAAGGTAGAGAGATTATCTACTGCTCTACATATATAAGCCTATTCACATTTTGAAATCACGTTTTTTCTGACCACATTTGTTATTTTCACAGTACAAATTCAGGAAATTTTCTTTGTGGCAACTTGTTTGTTTGACCATGGTTCAGCAAAGAGGAAGACTGGTAGAGGATGAAGGTAGGGAAGCCATAGTTGCACCCTTTCAATATGGTCAAGTTGGCCTAAACTACTGTACTGCCGTCCCTGAATGATAGGGGAAGGTGTGTTGCTCTTAGACATTTCAAAGTTTGTGTTACCCCCCAAAGAGTTGCAGGTTCATCTGTCCCCCTCACCTGCTTTTTCTTCACTTGTCTACAGTTTCCTTTCTTGGGAGTGACAGAACTAACACAGAGCAATGATTTTCCTGCTTCAGGCAAAATGCCAAGGTCCCCTGAAAACTGCTATTGTAGCAGGAGGATGCTGCTGCACTGTCATGCCAAGTCACTCTGCTGGGGCTCAGGGCATGAATGGTCACTCCCTTCAAGGGTCACTTATGTCAGTCCTTACCCTAGACACATGAGACCAAAATCAACTTGCCAAATAGAACAGCCTTTCAAGCTGTTTTGGGCATACTATGTGGTTTTTTCTGTGCAGGCAAACATTTTCACTTCCATGTTAGAGTCAGTATTTGCCTTGTTCCTGTCATAAGAACTCCAAATTAAAATTAATAAAAGTAAGCTCATAGCACATTAATTCTTGGAGAGTGCCTTGGAGATGAGAGATTTGGCTCACTGCTATCCACAGTTTATGTGCATGCCCAGCTGGCATCCAGATCATACCAGGGAAAGAGGGGAGATAACTAAAATCCTGCATGGTCTGCTAAGACTCTGGCCTGGGGAAGAAAATGTGACATATGCAATTTCTGTAACTACCCTAGGAATTTCTTTCAGGAGTGGAATTTAGACTATGTCTGGTGTGGAGGGAGTTGTCTCTCTCCCTTTTTGGTGAGCAGGGCCACCAGTACCTTATGCCACTATGGATTAGCTCTGAGATCAGCCTGACAAGTGATCAGAGAGGCTTGATAATCACACACCAGTCAGCAACTCGTGAAGATTAGGGGGGTATGTCACCCTGATTTTTTAAGATTTTCTAAATCCTTTGGATTTTACATTCTTGTAGCAAACTTTCTCACACACTTTCTGTAAATAACTTACTCTTTTTGTATTCCTTCATAGAGGAGGAGAAATTTGCTAGACTGGTAGTTTGTCCAGTGTCATTGGAGAGGTGGCACTTTCACCCTCCATTCCACTGTCACCTTTGGAAAACTATAAATGTTAGAGTCAGAAACAAACTTCCCCTTTTTACCTTCACAAGAGCAGAGGTGTGCATCGTGTTTGCTCGTGTCCTATAGTGACAGGGGTAAATGACACACATTCCATCAATGCCTTTGTCACACTCCAGTATGGCTTTATTCAGTCAGGAGTCATTGAGGAAAAAAAGCTCTCTAGACACCTGGGGGTTTGTCATCCATCCTTCATCCTTTGGCATGTGCAATTAATTCCAGCTGCACTTCACCCATGGGTGCTCTCCCACTCTCAAACCTGAGAGCTTGTGAATAAATGAAAAAGGATCAGCATGTGCAGGGGCAATCCTTTCACTCCCAAGGATAAGCCTGAGTCTTACATGACATGGAGGGACCAAGTCCAGCTCACTAAGTGATGTGGTGGTGCTGCTGACAATGTTCACAACAATGATGACAATAGTATACAGACTTTAGGAACACTTTCAGTGATCAGCTGAGTATAGACATGAGGCTCTCATTGTCCCATGCAGTAACAGCAGCTGATTGCACTGTAACCTTTACTTTGCTCACCAACAGTCCATGTCTTGGAGAACATTTTAATGAATGTGAATTAGGAAATCAAAGAGGATAGTAGAGCTGAATCCTAATAGCTGATGTGAAAAGCACTTGGTTTCAGAGACATGCAGATTTACTTCAACACTGCAGCTTTACTTCATCTCTGTGGTGTCCCAATACAGGAAAATGTCAGTTTTCTCCTCTGTGCTCTCAGAGCACTGCTTGTGCCTTACTTCTCTATCCCTATAAAAACTCATCCTCCTCCTAATTACAAGAAAATGCATTCAAAGACCATTGAACAGTGTCAGGCTAGTCCCCATGTCCTTATCCTTTTCTTAGGCCTGAGGTGTGTCCCAGCTGTAGGGGTTTTGTGCTGGATACAGGTATCACCATGGAGATCAGGCCAGGGTGGGCTGGGCTGTGTGCAGGGAGCTGCTGGGTGGCTGTGTCCAGCCAGGGCAGAGGGGAAGCTCAGCTCTCCTGCCATGAGGGGTCACACAGCCCCGCTGTTGCCACTACATCAGCCATCCCCATTACCCAAGCAAATGAGGGCTGGGAACAGAGTTCAACCATCCCCAAGGTCTTTGGGAGGCAGAAATGCCACATGGGGGTCAGAAATGTTCCTTTTATAGCAGGAGGGCTTCCATACGTGCAGACAGGACCCCATGAGCAGAGCAGCTTCAGCCAGGGCTGTACAAACCCATGTTGTACAAAGTCAGCAGCCAGAGGTGTCTGTGAGCATCCCTGAGCTGGAGGCAGAGGGAAGATGCCCCTGGGCAGGGGTTACAGGTCCCTCTCTGCCCCAGCAACAGCACAGGCAGCACTGCTTGCCCAGGGGTGGAAGCCAGGGCTCAGTGCAGAGCATCTCTGGTGCCACCTGGCCACCACAGGAACAGATGAACCCCAAGCAGCCCTCCACCCTCAGCTCTGAGATGCTGTGAAAGCTATTAGTGCATCTGCTCTGAAATGGGCTCATTAAAATACACATTCTCCTTCATTATCCCATGGCTGCAGTGCCTGACTCATCCCACTGCAGTTACTCTGGAATGGGAACCCAAGTTTAAAATTTTCCAACTTGTTTTTATTCACCAGGGAAGCTCACTGGTGATAGCAGTGGAAGCTGGAACAGCTTCTGTCTTCATGGGAGGCAAACAAAACCTGAAAAAACAGAGAGAGAGAGAGAGGAGATAAATGAGGCACCGTCTGATTGAAAGTCTGTTATTTCATGTTGCCTTTCACAATTTGACACAGGATGCTTTCTTGCACAGCTGTAGCTGGTGCTGGAGTAACCCAGCTGGCATGTGGTCACTCTCAGCAAAGGTGTGCCAGTGGTATTTCCTCCTTTCCTCCTCTTTTTCCACAGAGCACAGAAGAGTGCCACACAGCCATGGCTTAGCAGCCTGGTCTTGCAGCAAGCTTTGGCTGGGATCCCTGCTCTGACTCCTGACCATGCTAAAGCTCACCTCTCCCCAGGGGCACACAGAGCCTTGCACTCACAGCTTTTGCTGCCAGCACTGTCCCCAGACACAGACCCCTCTGAGGTGGCACATGGACGGGCACAGGGGGCTGAGGGATTGCAGAACTCTCTGACAGGCTGGGGGAGGCACTGCTTTGTGCTGCCTTCCTGCTCCCCCAGCTCCCAGGGACAGTGTCCTGTGGGCACCACTTGCACAGGGCTTAAAGCCACAGGCAACCCCAGCCTCCCCCTGCCAAAATGGAAACCTCACAGCCTAAGCCCACCTCATGCAAGCTGAGAACCTTCTCTTTTGCTTTTATGCACAGACATGATCTCACCAGACATTGCTTTTAGCTGCAAGAAAATTCCTCCCTCTTACTGTTTTGGTCTTAAGAACTGCTTTCCTGGGCTAAACATGCTTTGCTTTAAATAGATGTGCTGACCCAAATACTACCATGAATGATTATTCAAGGATGAAGAACAGACTGGAGTCCAAAGATTTTTACAAGACAACTTAAATCAATATGATATTTCTGATTAGCACTTCTAGGAAACCTGTATGGCTATACTCATTACTCGGCTCATTTTGCTGTTATTTGTTAATGCAGTACATTATCAAGTATCTGAAATATTTACTCTGTTGTCCCCTGGACTGCACTGATTTCTTTTGGATCAAAATGTAGCTTGGTAATCCTCTGCTGTGGATTTTTATAACTAATATTTTACAGTAAGCCACTTGCTAGTAATAAGCCTAGTATCACTTATACAACTCTTTTTATAATCTTTACCCTTAAAAAATAATTTGCACAATTTAAAATAATAATTCAATTACTTATTAACCAATGGCCTACTTGCAATATTAAACTGAACATGGCATTGCAACTTGGGACATTTTTCAATTTTTTATAGCAAAAACCTCTGCAGGTGTGGAAGCCAACATTTTTCACAGCACACATCTAAATGGGTTTCTTTTATTTCAGACTGCCTACTGTAATAGAGCAGTCACTTCAACAGAAAATATGCTGAAAGCCTGAAATTTAAATCCAATTTAAAGTCTAAATGATGCACATGATTAAAAATGTATTATCTATCCCACCAAATCAGCATCATTGAAACACTGATATTTCCCTAATTTTAAGCACCATCTAGTGAGTCAAACATTAGATCTGATCTTCCAAATTACACCCAAGGAAAATAAGATCCTGGTTTGACTGCATCCCACTTAGTGCTAGGTCTCGTGCTGAGATTTGTAAGTCAGCTGTTTAGTCACTGTCTGTTCTCTTACTAATGGACATTAAATAGTCCTCCAAAGGTGCTGGAGACCTGAGCTTCTTCATGAAGATAATTTGTTTGTTGACAAAGGAGGATCTTGGCTGAGCAGGCTCCCTAGTTAGATAAGGCTAACTGCCTGGAAGTGAAGCAGGGAAAAAACTCATTTTGATAATGATATATTTTTTTTATCACTCCAGAGCAAGGGATTGGAAAGAGTGTGGTTTTATTTCAATTATATTAAAAAAAAAATCTCCAGGCAAATAAACAGCTTTATAAGGATGATGATTCTTACTACTTCCATTAGCTGGCTTGCCATGAAGATGAAGTAGGTCTGAGAGAGACTAGCACAGTAAATCTGCATACAATTACAGGACCTGCTTACCTGGCACTGGTGTTAAATCAGTTCAGTTAAATCAGCACCAGGAACTGACCTGTATAAACAGCCCCCATAGATGGAATTAATTTGGAAAGCAAGTGATGCACAGTTGGTTGGGTTAACATGGAATCACTCTGGGCACAGGCAGGGACGTTCAGACTGAGCCTCGTTTGGCCTCTCTGAAATTGCAGAGCTTGTGGCTGGAGCTGTGCTGGTACTTTACACGTTCCAGCCAAACTGGTGCAAGAGCAGGCAGTGGCCTGGCCTTGCTGGGGGTGAGGAAAAGGCACATTGCCTTAGACAGGAGTGCCTCACTTGGGAGGCAGGAGCGTCATATGGGGGTCAGAAATATTCCTTGGCTGCTAATGCCAATACCCTCAGTTGGCCAAGCCATACATTTGACCTCTTTCTGGTCAAATCTGGGTGCAGGGGAAGTGGGTTGATTTATGTGTCCTCTGTCCCAGCTCCTCTGTGCTACCAGCACTGGCACTTCAGCAGTGCCTGGGGCTGGTGGCCCGGCCCCACAGAGGACCAGCCCAGCTCTGTGCCCGGGGTCCCTCCTGCTGCTGCAGCCCCTGCCCAGCCAGGGCTCACCTCTGCTGAGCTGTCTCTGCTTGGGAGGTAAGCAGTGAGGGAGGCTGACAGCCTGGCCTGGGCCACAGACAGCTCTCTGCTGTTCTGGTTTTGGCTTTTCCCTATTTCTCCCTGTGCATCGCCTCTGGCTGTGCCAGAGCAGTTATGGCAGCACACGCTAAGGGCTGCTGGGGGACAAGAACTGTTGACTCGCTCCTCCGGCTCCCAGGGAAATTGTGATGGACAGTGCCCACCTGCTATTTCAAAACAGTGGAGGTTTATCTGCACCTCGTGTTACAGAAATCTGGTACCTGGTGGGGTTTAACCGGGGAAAGCAGCGTCTCTAGTGGGAGTGGGAGCATTTAAGGCCTGGTCCCTCATCACCAGGACTCATGACTGCTGAGGGGTGATAGAGGTTCCTGGCCTTTGGTCTCTACTTCCAAAACAGGAGAAGTATCAAAACTGAAGCTTGGAATCAGCTTCACTAACACCTGAAATACCTTAGCGTTGTCCCAGCTTGGACATTGGCAAAACTGCTGGGTAAAGGAAACAAGCATCCCTTTTCTCCTTCATCCTTGCTGCCCATACATGTTGTGCTGCTAGCAAAGGGAAAGATCTTTTAGCAAAAGATCCTGATTTGTGGTCTATAATTGGTCATGATGGAAAGGGGATTCTAGCAGGAACTCAAATTTCAGAGCTATACAGCAAGAAAAAAAAAATAATGTTTTTGGAGTCCTTTCCCACAAAAAGCAGAGCATGTGTAGGTATCAGTCGGTTTAGCAAGACAGTTTAAGCTCACTGGAACAGTCACACAGCATGCACAGTCCATATTAGGATCCAGTCATCTCCAAACACTGCTTAGCTACAGGGGTAAGACAGAATTTAATGACATCACATAAATAAATATAAATTAATATAGTAAAAAGGCTTTACCTTGGGCTTAAGCAAAAGGCGAAATTTTCCAGTCCTGTGCGATCCTTCTCTGCTCCCAAGTCTGCTGGCTCATAGTGCAGCAAAATGATCAGGCATTTATCAACCCTGGCAAGCTCTGCAAGTCCTGAGAGTGTTTGATTTGGAAAGAAAGGTGTTGGGACAAGATTCCTGAACACCTTCACCCAGAGTTATGCAGGGAAAAAAAGAAGAAATAAAAGCAAGCTTCAAGAGGTCAGAATGTGTAGCCTGCCCAGAGCTGCTTTTCCTGGTAGAAATTAGACCCTGAAGTGCTCAGGTGAAAATCAGGGATAATCCCTGTATAAGTGCTTCTAATTGGGACAAACTGAAAGTGAGGAAGTTGAGGAAGACAGCGCTGGCCCACCCCTGGGGGCTCTGGGTTGGTTCCCAGCTGGTAACTGAGAGCAGAATTATGCAAAGCCTCCTCTATAAACAGAATTTGGTTTATTATGGCCGAACTGGGGGAATCTATTTTTATCACCACTTTGTGCAAATGTGTTACCCTTGTGATATCCAGCCAGGTCATTCCAAGTCAGCTGCTTTGGCTGTGGCTGTCACTGGAAGCTCCTCTCTCTGCCCAGTCCCTCGCCCCATTTCTCAACCGCCCAGGGTTGGCTCCCAGGCGAGGGGGACGAGGGGATGAGCCTGTGGCTATTCTGGTAGCTGTGAGCTATGGAGGTGTCACGTGAAGCAAAGAGCCAGAAATGCATGTCAAATCGAACCACTGACTAATCATGGTATTTTGGTTGTCTTAGTGGCTGCCGGGGAAAGATTTATGGGCTCAGAAAAATCTTCCCATAATAATCCCTGGGTGCTGATTTGATCTTCGGCTGAGGCTTCCCAGGACCGTGCGGAAAGAGGACGGAAAGGGGGTTGCTGTCCCTGGGTGGTGACGTCTAAACTGATCGGAGTTCAACATACAAAGAAGAGGAGAAAAGTCAGCGCTCTCTTCTCATCTGTGTCTGCTCAGAGCCACGCGCTGGCAGCCAGAGAGGATCCCTTTGATCTGCCTGTGGAGCAAGAAGGGTTGGGGGCGACGGCTGAGCAGACACGAAGGGCCACTTATTGGGACTGTCATCTAGCTCCCTCATCTGTCACCTGATGGCCAGCCAAGCAAGTGCTCGGCACAGCTGTGGACTCTTCATCCTTGTGCAACTTGTGGAGGCAACAAAAGTAAGCATCCTACAGCTGATATGACATTCGGCTATTTTTTCTATAAAGGAATGAATTGAATTCACTACAAATCTACTAACTGTCCCCCTATGCCCGGCAAGATACTGACTTGTTATTTTGGGTTGGGCTTTTCTCTAACAGCTGGAGGTCTGCTGGGCATTCAAGCAATGGCTCTTGAGTAAGGCAGCTGTTTCAATATCTAATTGCATTTTAGCTCTAATAGCTCAAGAGAAAAGCATTGCATTGTCTGCCATGAGCTACTTCCTGTCCTACTGCAAAGCACACTGCACCACCGTGCTCACTCAATACCAGAGCCTGAGATCAGAGGGCTTTCTCTGTGACATTTTGCTGAAAGTGAAAGAAAACGAGTTTCCTGCACACAAGTCCTTGTTGGCATGCTCCAGCGACTACTTCCGAGCCATGTTCAAAAGTTACACCCAAGAGTCTAAAGCCAGTGTCATTCACCTACAAGTTGTCTCACCCACTGGGCTCCAGCACATCCTGGATTTCATTTACACATCCTTCCTGCCCCTTTCCTTTGAAAGCCTGGAGGATACCTTGGAAGCTGCAAGCTACTTGCAAGTCACTGATGCTATTGGCTTGTGCAATCAGTACTTAGTTAACAATCTTGCCTTGGAAAACTGCTGCTACTCCGCCAATGTGGCCAGGAAGTTCTACCTGCCAGACGCCCTAGCAGCTGCAGAAAAATACATTATCAAAAATGTCTGGAAGCTGCTGGACTTGGATTTGTCAGGACTTCTCGAGCTGAACTTCAGGTCTTTGCTAGCAGTGATTCAATCACCAGATCTCCCCATGGTGGAAGAACACCGCCTGCTGAATCTTGTCCTGCTGTGGTTGAAGCAGGATAAATCCAGGCTGGATCATGCAAGCAGCCTTTTAGAGCACATAAGATATGGTCTTATCCCAGTGGAAGAGCTGAGAAAAACCTACACACAGTCAGAAGTGTCCCTCTCAGCAGGTATTAAGTGCTTGATCATAAAAGCAATAAATTATCACACATCTGTATTCAAACAGCCTGTCGTGCAGGATAAGTCCACCACACTGAGGAACCAGAAAACTCGGATCATTCTGCTGGGGGGAGGCACAGCAAGCGAGGGGCTCGTCACTGATGTGGTGGCCTTCGATGTTTACAATCACAAATGGCGAACCCTCACACAGCTGCAGGACAGGGTGCAGAACCACAGCGTGTGTGTGGTGGGGAACTTTCTCTATCTCTTGGGAGGAGAGATAGAAAGCGGTACCCTTGGTGATGCTAAAATTGGAAAGACCTTATCGGTTACAAACAAGGTCCATCGGTATGATCCGAGATTTAACACATGGACCCAAATCACGGGCATGCTGGAAAAGAGATGCCAGTTTTCTTGCTGTGTGCTAGGCAAGGATATCTTTGCCATTGGTGGAAGGGGTGAGGACGGATTGCTGCATTCATCTGTGGAAGTCTATGACATCAGCAGAGATAGATGGAGGAAGGCCAGGGAATTGCCATGCAGGATACATGGTCATGCCAGTGCTGTCTGCAAGAACACCATATACATCTCTGGGGGCAAGCACTCGGCCTCAGCCAGCACAAGCAATGACGTTTATTCTCTGAGCTCACTTGAAGGGCAGTGGGTGAAATGTGCCCCAATGAGCATTGCTCGGTTTGGGCATCAGATGGCAACAATCAGGGGATCCATTTTCACCTTTCTGGGACTGTATGAACCTTTCTCTGAAATAGAAAGGTATGACCCAGATCAAAACCAATGGACTCGGTTGAAGCCGCTGGTCTACGATCGATTCTCCTATGGCCTGGCAGTGGTAGAGGAAACAGCTCTTCTTATTGGGGGAAAGAAATGGCAAAACTCGCTGGAGGTCTCCACGCAAGACGTGGTTGGCTATGACATCGACAACGATGGCTGGGAAGAGATCTGCAAGGCCCCTCTGCCGTGGTGTGGGCTGCAGTGTGCTGTGCTCCAGCTCTCCGAGGTGGCCGAAGAGCAGGACAGCGACAGCCAGCAGAAGAAGCTGCCCAACCGCTGAGCTCCCATGCTGAGGAACATCTATCCCAGGAGATGAGTGAGCAGGGCAGTCCTGGGGAAGAAGAAAATTGCACTGGCATTGAACATGAAAGTGGAAGTTTTGCTTGGATAAGCCAAAAGCTTGGTGGAAACAGGCAAGAAAATCTGGCTCCAGCACAGGAAACACATCTAGGATTTATACAGCTGGAAGCTGATCTCACTGAGCAAGGATGCAGCAAGCAGCACGCTTAGAGGCGATGAGTGAGAATTGTAATCCTTGACTTTTGGATAATACCTAGATAGCAATTAGTAGGTGTTGTAAGTGGGATTTTTCAAATATTAAAAAATATAATCCATCTTTTCTGTTTTCTTAATCAGAGGTAATTTTCCCAGCTGGTAAGTGTTATTGAGTTTTTATGCTATGGCTAAGCGAGAGCTGTATAAAGACTAGAAAATTGATGCCTACGAGAATTAGCAGCAAGCATTGCCAAGGAAAAGGTATTATTTGATATACTACTTACTAGGCAAGAATGTCTTAGCTAACCAGCATGAAATTACTGGCAGAAAGCATGGACTTTTCACTATGTAGACTCAGCTACAGCTGAAAGTTAAAAAGTGTTTGATAGAAGCCATTTCTCTCTCAGTGGCCTTTGCTGTAGAACACCTTCCAGATGCTTAATTTGTGTAATTTTAAAGATGCGCACTGCTGGTGATGTGCAATTCTTTTGTATCCAAACCCTGTACTGGCTCAGATGGCCAGAGCTGAGTGGGTATCCTTATCCTTAGCCTCCAAGAAGTTTCTTACAGGAGTAACAAGCTGTTTCTGATGCCTTGGCATTTACCTCAGCACCATACGCTGTTTATCACACCTGTTCATAAGGCTAAAATGCTTTGTTGCTGTTGAGCTGCTACATGAGAGAACACAGCAGTCAAAAAGGTTTACTTTCATCAAAGAGTACAAAGGGGAGGGAGGTAACTGAAGGTTTTCAGAAGCCTTTACTCAGTGTCTGCTTACATACAAATCAGTAATTGTGTCACTCCCTTTTGGCCACACTGGCAGCATTTGAAGTCGCAGTGGGGTACTTTAAGATACATGAATATGTGAAATGTAGACAAAATGGTCAGATGCTACAGAATCAGTCTGGTATGGACTAAAGGGAATCTTGAGCCATAAATGTTCATTTAAAAGCTAAATTTATTGTACTTCATTTTACAGTGTTCCCTTTCTAGGCTGAGAGTTAATACAATAAAAATATATATAGAAGAACATTTAATAGTTTTAAAAGAAGGCAGCACAATGGAGAGGACACATGTTCTTTGTCACTAGACTAGCTTAAAAAACGGTAATGTTTCATTTTTACCTTTAAAGCAACCAAGCTAACTTTACTAATGTAAAGTGCAGGCAGAATGGCTGTTGCATAGCAACAGATCTAAGTCTTCTGAACTGCCTTGGTTTTGACAAGGAATCAACTACACAATGTGCATATACATCCATCAGATATAAAGAGTTTTTCATATGAATATATTTACTTTTGGTCCAGTAAAACAATAGCAAGAGAATCTAAATGCTTGGAACAATAGCACAATCCATTTCAAGTCAAGCATTTTTTAAGAGAAATTTACAAAAACCTCACGAATTTAATATACAAGTCAGTACCCATGCAGTAAATAAATGTCCAGTTTATACAAACAATATTCTTCTAATAGTACAAATCTTACACTGGATCCAGAATTCTATACAAACGTTCATACATGATTTGTCATTCAGACAACTTGAATATCGGATTACTGAAAATGGGCTACAGAAAGGCCACTCTTCTGTACAGTTGTGCAAAATCTGCAGAACATTTGCAATCCAAATGCAATAACAAGATAGAAAATGAGGGGTAGAAAGAGGAAAAGAAAAAAAAAAAAGGGGAGCAAGAGAGAAAAAGGGGAGAAAGAGAGAAAGAGAGAAAGAGAGAAAGAAAGGAAAGAAAGAAAGAAAGAAAGAAAGAAAGAAAGAAAGAAAGAAAGAAAGAAAGAAAGAAAGAAAGAAAGAAAGAAAGAAAGAAAGAAAGAAAGAAAGAAAGAAAGAAAGAAAGAAAGAAAGAAAGAAAGAAAGAAAGAAAGAAAGAAAAAGAAAGAAAGAAAGAAAAGAAAGAAAGAATTTCTGTCCATTCTTTCCTTCATCCCTTCATGGATATAACTGCCAGGAAATATCAGAGTTCATAAAGTTTAAAGTACATTCACTGAGCTGTACAGGCAATAGTCTCAAGTTGGTTAAGAGTACAACTCATGAAAGTATACAGGAGGCTTTTCCTTTCCACATGAGCATTATTAAATCATGTCACGAGTCCTAACTTATGCAGCAAAATACTGAAGAGCAGCAGAAATACTTTGTCATGCTCTTAACATTTTTCAAAACCAAGTTCATAAAAAGTAAATATATGATTTAAGAGTTCTCTCCCACTTTTATTTCAGGCATGTGCCTAACTCTAAGGAGCTATTTCCCCTCATATTCACTGGGTTGTCTTTAGCAGATAACAAATCTCATGGAAGTTTAAAACATTTTAATTGCCTTGTGAACGCAGCAGAACCCAGAGACATCCCTTCCCCTTCAAAAGCAAACCAGAGGCTTTTTTACTCCTTGGTTATTTTTCAGGTTCCATGCTCAATTCTGCTCTCATCAGACATAATCCCTGCATACAATACAGCCAAATTTCACAGCTGAGAAAACACATAGGAAACTACTTGAAAAATCCAATTCACTCCTTTTCTATTGTGGGAATCTTCAAAGCATCTCAGATTTGCAGCATTTCATTGCAAACCTTTTCCACTGCTGCTGTACTGGGCTAAAGAAACGCTGCTACCAACAATGTTGAAAGTCTACATTTTCCCTTTTGCAAATCTGCACATTATACTGATACCTTCAGTGCAAAAGCATCATCAATCACAGTACCATGACTATTTTTTTTTAATCAACCTAATGTGATTAAGAGACAACACACAATTTGGTCTTTATTTAATACAAACCAGCATTCCTTTGCAGTGATGGTAAACCTTAGCAACAGGCTTTAAAAAAGCACAAGGAAATAAGACCTAACCTTTTGACACCTAAACTCACATTAGTTATTTTTTGTCTGCTGATTTTCATCATTTTATATGTTTGACAAAACTGAAATACAACCACTGCATTATACTTTTCCCCTGTTATTTAAGAAAACTCCTAGAGTTTCTCATTAAATATAAAAATTGGTTTTCTCCCACCACCAAAACAGTACTCGCACTCCAAAAATGCAATGCAATACTGGAATTATATAATATAAAATATCATTGTAAAACTGACCTTTGATAACAAAAGCTTTATAGCATGTGGAACTTCCTGCACGAAGGCCACAGTCTTCCAAAAATGCTTTTAAATACTTTTCTTCAATAGCTAAAGATCATGTTATTTTAATTCACAGAAAGTAAACACAAGCAGAGCATTGGTAGCTTATAAAATATACAAATCCTCATTAAAGAAGTGGTATTGTTGACCACTGAAAGTTTCACACAGCTGAGTAACATTAAAATATAATTTCCTAGAACTCTCACATATTGATATAAAAACTACTTTATGCACTTAAGTAAAGGGCTGGGGTGTAGCAAATGGACAAAAAGAGAGACTTTCATACATGTGTTTCAATGTAAGAGTGAGTGTGTGCTAATGAGGCTATAAGTGCTTCAACCTCAGAGGAGCCATTAACAGAGTCCCTCCGGGGGCTGCTTTCATAGGTGTTCATGAAGAGATCCAGGTACATTTCTTTCCATTCTTGAAAGTCTCTAGACGTCAAGACTGGATTATCCAGAACTTTATCTATAATGGCTACTTCTCCTTCCCTGGCCTGTGAGAGAAAAGGAACAAGCAAAGAGTTAATGCAGGTGATGAGTCACTGACAAAATCAATCACATCGGTGGAAGCAGAGAATGGGGGGTAGAACTCAAGGACTCAAGGACTCAAGCACAGGGACTACCTGATCTATGAGCACTCAAACACAGGAGCCTTTCTATAGGGTGTCCCACACGCCCCTGTGGGACTTGGGCTTCCCTTGCCTTGTCCAGAACCCTCAGTAAGAATCCCTATTCCCCCACCTGCCCCCTTGTTCAGCCCCAGAAAAAGCAAGTCCTGTACTGTTTACTATTAGCTGCTGCATTTCTCAGGGTGGGTTGACACAGCAAAGTGCCATCTGTTTGCTCTCGATCAGCATCACAAGTACTGCGTGGGTGTGTGGGATGCAGACACACACACACCCCCAGCCTCTCGCCCACCAGCACAGCTACACCTCCTCACCAGGCTTGCCATGGGGCACCTGAGCTCTGCATTGCAAAGGCTGTGCAAGGAGACTCACAGGAACGACAGCTCATCTGCACTACAGATCTGCTGCATGCCATGGGCTGGCTGGCTGCAACCTCTTCCACCACTGACGTGGCAAAGAGAAGGCGGAAAAAGGGAAAATATAGCTGCTGGTGCCTCCTTATGCCCCATCGAGGCAGGGAAGTGACTGTCCCATAATCCCTCTCTGGTGATTGGGTCACAGAGCTGAGTGTCACAGCAAGCCTCAGATGTACCCACAGCCACTCACGGCTGTGGAAGCTGGATGCCACAGCCATAATCCTTGGAAACACAGCTAACACACACCTGTGGTTCCCAGCACTGCTCCTCAGCACAGGAATGGCATGGCCACGAGCAACTCCCTCCAACCTCCCTGCAAGATGGGTTTCACACTCCTCATGGCTAACTCACATTTTCCATGTCCGTACTATGAGTAGTTAAATCCTTCTGGCTAGCATGGCAAGGGGAAATATCAAACTGTGTATGATGGAACAGGTCAGAAGGGTCAGAGACAGAAGGGTCAGAGACATCTGTCTTAAGCAGTGCTTTCATTGCTGTGCAAACAATAGCAAATTAACACTACCTGCTAGAATATTCATTTCCAGAAAGAGAGGGCAAGCTGAGAACATGCTGTGGAAAAGAAACCATGGGAACCCCTGATCACCAGATCTCAGCTTGAGCTGCCATAACTTATTTCTCACAGATTGTGACTGGTCCCACACCTCTGCACTACCAGCCAGGCAGCTCATACTCAGTGATAGGAGAATGATTTTGTGTTGTCACAGGACACAGAGCACAGGGGTCTTTCATGAATGACTTAGAAGATAGGACACCAAGAGCCAGAATCAGTTTGGAGGACTGTCTCTGGATACTATTATGTAGGATAAAATTCAAGGAGAATTCAGAACATCAGTGCCAACAGGCTAGTGCAATTGGCTGCATTCAGGAGGGAGAAATCACAGGTATTGATAAAAAGAAAGACTAATTGATTAGGTAATAGCAGTAGCTACTGCTTGATACAATTGCCAGTAGTGTGGCAGAGGTGGAGCTCTGGGCTGTAACGCAGCCAGTCACAAGTTACCATGTGGTCACTGCAAACCAAGCATGTGTCACCCTACGCTGCTACTCTATGCAGAAAACAACAATTATCTGTCTTTGCTCCTTGCTGCCACTGCATTTTACATTATTGGTCTCGTGTACTTAAGCATGATTTACACCAATCACAGTCCAAAAAAGAGTGCTGACAGGCTTAGAAAATATGGCTCATGGACGGAGAACAAAAAAATTGTTTGCTTGGTCCAAAGGAAAGAAGTTCCAGAGAAGCACAAAACCAGGAATGTATCTCAGGTATCAATAACCACTAACAAAGAGACAATTCAGCATGGCAGCAGGCTGCTGATGCTGAACCATGGCTGTGCTGTGAGACCCCACTGTGGTGCAAACCCTCAACAACAGCGTGAACCTCCTGCCACCCCGATGTCTGTGAGAGCACTGTGATGTTGTTTCAGTTCCTCATGCTTGAAGAAGCCATGGACAGCTGTGAATGTTGCCCTTTTTTGTCAGCCTTCAACCCTACAAAGTCTCGCATGCCAAGATAATAATGCAAGTTGCCTTCAAGGAGATGCTGCAGTACAGAAAGTTAAGCACATGTAGGATTTCTTTTCAGGATGGGAGCCCCACAGCATGAAAATAATATTGTCTAAATGCTTCTCTAGGTGATAGAAAACTAAATTAATTAATGTTTATAAAGCCCTCTTTGATGAAAGCTGTTACAAAATGCACTGTACAATTATCTGGTGGCTTAAAATGTGGTAATTTAATATAGTTAACAGGGTCCCTGAGGAAATCCAGCACATTGTTTCCTGAAATCTCTATCAGGGCATAACTGAAACTGCTGTAACAAAGAAAGGAAGCTGACAAGGAGGCTAAAAGAGCTGTAGTACATTTAAAATTACCATATAAATTTTCAAATCTATCATTAGTACTACTTATTTAATCAATCTTACTAATTAAATACAATGATCAATCCTATCAGTTTTCACAGAATGCAAGCATACAGTTTCCTCCTGGACAAGCTCATCAATTAGAAAACAGTCAAATGTTGCAAGAGATACTGTTCTCTTCTAAAGGCTGGCTTTGTTTAACTTTAGACTTTGGCAATTACAAAATGAATGTGTTTTGATAATTCAAAACATTCAGGGATAAAACAGGGATTAAGGTTTCCTCCAGTAATTTGGTGTCAACTTCTGTTAAACTAGCTAGAGGAGGAGCAGCTGACTGAGATTAAGTACAAGAAAATAAAGAAATTGAAACTGATCCCCTCACTTTGACTGCTCTCCCAAGCACATTTTCCTCTTCTTTTCAAGCAATGCTTCCCCATGTCTCCCTTGTTTGCACACTGGGCTCAGCCTGGTCTCCAGCTGC